CGCCGTGACAGCCACCGGCAGCACCGCCACTACTACCATCGGCTTCACATACTCCGCCGCCGTGGACAACTCTCCACCACCTGAGCATGTTGTTACAGCACTTCAATCTCTCAATATCCCCGCCGTACGACTCCTTAATCCGAGTCCAACTTTAATCCGAGCATTTTCCTACTCGAACATCTCCCTTCTCCTCACTGTACCAAATTACCTCGTCGGAGCCTTCGCTGCTAATCGCTCAGCTGCTACTGTATGGGTTTACAACAATGTACTTCCGTTTCATCCTCGTGCTCGGATTTCACTCATTTCAGTCGGTTCCGATGTTATCTCTTCCACCGGCGGTCCCGGAATTACTGATCCTACCACTGCCTTAGTCCCTGCTATGCAAAACTTACACCACGCGCTTATTGATTTAGGAATCCGTACTGTTTCAGTTTCTACGACTTTCTCCTTCATCAACGTGATTACGACGGCGTTTCCTCCGTCTGCAGCTGAGTTCCAAGAGCCTGTTAATTCGCTTGTTATCAGACCTGTACTTGAGTTTTTGGAGGAAACGAATTCATCTCTGTTAATGAATGTGTATCCGTACAATGTGTATCGACTCCATGGAGAGATTCCGATTAGTTTCGCTTTGTTCCAGGAAGGTCCATTTAACTTCCGTGATGATGTTGTTACAGGTGTTAGGTATCATAATCTGTTTGATATGATGGTTGATGCTGTAATTGCTGCAATGGCGGTTTCAGGCTATGAGAATGTTCCCCTGATTTTGACGGAAACAGGGTGGCCAAGTAATGATGAGCACATGAATGCAGAGGAGAGTCAGATGTACGCTGAGAAATACTTACAAGGACTGATTTCACATTTGAAATCTGGCCTTGGAACTCCACTCAGGAAGGAAGGTGCTGCTCAGGCTTACATTTACCAGTTGTTTGACGACGGGCCTGAATCGAATTCGAAGAAGAACAACTTAACCTCTGATGGTGGTGAAACAGTGCATCAGTACTGGGGAGTGATGTACCATAACATGACCATGAAGTACAACATCAAGTTTGACAATGCTCATCAAATTTCCACAATGCTTGGTTTACTCGTTCCCTCAATCTATTCTCTATGGCTTCTTTACCATTTCTTCTTCTGTTTTGTTTGGTCTGGATTGATGATTGACTAGTACTAGAGAAATCTTCATGTTAATACTAATTCATTGCCTATAGAGGGAAACTTTGCCTGAACCAGATCTCTGGTTCTTTCTCAAACTCCAAATTAGTCTACTGATGATTGCAAGCACAATCAAGAATAGCATGTGTGATACCTAGAGATTTCTGTTGCTGTTGATTGAATTTCTGTTCTAGTATTACATGAAAGCATACAAACAATGTAGTTGTTGTATTCTTAGTCTATCTGTTGCTGTTGGCTTAATTTCTTCCTCTGATATGATCACTAGTGATCCCTCCATGATTACTGATTCATGCTTCCATGTTTATTGAAGAAGATAGCAAGTAGAACCGTGCACGTGATGTGTGAGTTAGGTACACGTCATGGTTCTAATCTTATCTTAAATGAAAGTACCTTATTTGTTGATAATATTAGTCGTGGGTAAATGAGAAAACATGGTCTATAAAGACTCATATAGTCGAACTTTAACTAGTTTGGAATTGAGACATAATTATAGTCGAAACAATTAAATATCCAAATGAGACAGATACCTGTCCTTTCAAGTGTATCTAATTTCTTAAAATAAACAAGACTGGTGCACTAAGCATCCAGAGTTCATATAGGAATTGGTAAAGATCTAAAGGTGTTACATTGTCAGCCTACCATGATCTGATTCCACAGCTCAAATCTGTGATATATAGGTCACTCAAACTTTGGACCTACAAGGTCACACAACGACGAATTCCATCGTTGTTCCGAGGCTCCCCTTGGGGCAGTATCATATTATTGTAAGAAAAACAATCTAAATGCCCCTCTTAGTCTAAACATATAACATCATCTGAATCTGAGGAGTTTCCATCAGCAGATGATGAGTTCTTGTTCACAGTCTGCAGGTCTTGCCAAAAGCTTTCTAACTGGTCATGGGTAAACCAATCTTCCTTCATCTATAAAACAGAAAAAGATTATAAGGATTAGAGGATTTCTTGATATGAAGATTTGTTGAAGAGAACGACCATATCGTCTAAAAGTTTAAAATGTTAAGAGAGGGGACACTTTTATTTATTCAGTGCGCTCCCTCACGTGCTGGCTTGAATATTTTTTCAAGAGACGAGCACGTAGATATGTGTTAAAGTTTGTGAGGGAATACTTCTATTTATTTGATTATCTAAATAGTTTGACAAAGTACTCACAAAGTAAGGGTAGCCTTCTGAAATGCTAAAAGTTTCTGGAGCATTCTCTAGGAAAAGGCTAATGTAGTACAAAACAAATTTACCACAGTCGGTAGCATTTCTCTGTTGCGGTACCTGAAACGTTCAAGTTGTTCTAAATGAGAGACCATCATATTGAATGTTACATCAAGTCGATAACTGCATAATGTGTTTAAACACACATAGTAAGTAACATCAGAATCAAGAGTGAAAAGTATTGTGACCTGAGGAACCAATAGTGGGATATTCTTAATCAGCTGCTTGCTCTCTGGCCTCTCTTCATTGTTGAATATGCTGGAAATGAATCTACAAATCGAACAAAACAAAGCATAAACAGCAAAATAACTAGCAAAACCAAAGTCATAAGGTAGGACGATGGTCGAGGAAAATACTTTCTTATCTCAGGTGCAAATCGCGAGGAGTCTGCTATCTGCAACGAATCCAGCAACAACATACAGGGAGTTGTTGATTCTGACTCCAGACTTTCACCGAGATGGCAAAAGATCAAAAGACACCAATGACCCCTGATGAATGACATCTCAGTCTACAAAGCACAACCTCAAATGATATGTAACTATGGCAAAGCCAGATAACAAATCAGAAACACATACCAGAGAACAATGGGAACAAAAACATATTTTTTCGAGAATATGTCTTTGTTCTTAATCCATCTCAACACCTTAGACTCAAACCGTTTGTTTCTGTATGAGGAAAACCACAAGGAGTCGAGGCATGCAAACAAATTTTTCTTATCCTCTGGTAGTTTCCTCCATATATTCCTACATTATCCCAAAAAGGTATGTTCAAAACAGAAACTGGAAAACATATACCCAAATAGCATAATTTAGTACACAAAAGCACAAACTTACTCCAGGTAACAGTCAAAGTTGATCGAGTTTAACTTTCCCTCTGATCTGGAGTTCCTTCGGAAGCGTTCTCCCTCTGATCTGGAGTTCCTTCTTTTTGACAGTCCACGGAGGCGTTCTCCCTCAGATCTGGAGTTCCTGCTACATGACAATTTACAGAGCCGCTCTTCCTCTGATCTGTCGTTCCCTGTGCGTTCTCCCTCTGATTGGTCGTTCCCCGTGTGTTCTCCCTCTGATATGTTGTTCCCCGTGTGTTCTCTCTCTGATATGTCGTTCCCCATGCGTTCTCCCTCTGATCTTTCGTTCTTTGATCTGGAGTTCCTGCTATTTGACAGTTCACGGAGCTGTTCTCCCTCTGATCTGTCGTTCCCCGTACGTTCTCCTTCTGATCTGCTGTTCCTCGTTCGTTCTCCCTCCGATCTTTCGTTACCCATGCGTTCTCCCTCTAATATGTCATTCTCTGTGCATTCTCCCTTTGAACTGTCATTTCCCATGCGTTCTCCATTTGATATGTCATTCCCTGTGCGTTCTCCCTCTGATCTATCGTTCTGTCTATTTGACAGTCCACAATGACTTTCTCCCTCTGATCTGTCATTCCTTCTATTTGACAGTTCACAGCGGCGGGAAGAACACCGTAGCTCAACAGCTGAATCGAGTGTAGAAGCTACTTGAGTGTGCTCTCCCTCTGATCTGTCATTCCTTCTATTTGACAGTCGATGGAGGCATTCTCCCTCTGATCTGTTGTTCCTTCTATTTTCCAGTTCACGGAGGCGGGAAGAACGCCGTGGCTCCACAACTGAACCAAATAATCAGTCTATATAAGTAAATGTAAAAGAAAAGAGAAAATAACAGTAATTGGGATGATTAAAAAAAAGAAAGGAAAAGGATATAACCATTTCTGCTTCTTTTAGGCATCAATCCTGAATTGAGGGATGCAAAGGATATAGAAGTAGGACTTCGAAAAGATTCCTGTTCCTGTTGATACTCTAACAGAAACAAAAGAACAATTTCGGAGAAGCGTTATCAAATCTTCTTGACTGGGAATAAAACTTAATGATAGAGATGACAAAGATGATCGCTGCAGATGATCTTCCTTATCAAAAGCAAGTTGTTAAAATCTTGGCTGAGAAAGATAGTCCGGATTCAACCTGCCAAAAGCCTTTCATTAATGCATATTTAACACAAACGAATTAATGATATGTATCATAAAAAAGTGAAAATAAACAGGAAACGAAAATGTTTGTTCTGTAACCCTGCTAAATTCAGCAAATAAGGTGAAGTCCAAAAATAGAAAGTAACATCGCATAGTTTGCCAATTACCAAACATGATAGTGAATGCACACTCACTTGTTCCATGACAAAAATGGATCAAAACTAAAACCACGTTAATGAGCTACTACAGGATCATTTTCAACTTAAGCAGTAAACACTAAACTGCTTGGATCAAATTATCCAAAAAGCTGTTTTTTCCACAATAGCCGGAGATTCAGATTAAAGAAAATAGTTGAATCAGCAAACCAGATATAATTATCCAAACCAAACAGGCCCCTGGTATAACCAGCTAGATTCGATTCAGCTGTTGAGCCACGGCGTTCTTCCCGCCTCCGTGAACTGGAAAAGAGAAGGAATGACAGATCAGAGGGAGAATGCCTCCATGGACTGTCAAATAGAAGGAATGACAGATCAGAGGGAGAGCGCACTCAAGTAGCTTCTACACTTAATTCAGCTGTTGAGCCACAGCGTTCTTCCTGTCTCTGTGAACTGTCAAATAGAAGGAATGACAGATCAGAGGGATAAAGTTCTTTGTGGACTGTCAAATAGACGGAACGATAGATCAGAGGGAGAACGCACGGGAAATGACATATCAAATGGAGAACGCATGGGAAACGACAGATCAAAGGGAGAATGCACAGAGAATGACATATCAGAGGGAGAACGCATGGGGAACGAAAGATCGGAGGGAGAACGAACGGGGAACGGCAGATCAGAAGGAGAACGTACGGGGAAAGACAGATCAGAAGAAGAACGGCTCCGTGAACTGTCAAATAGCAGGAACTACAGATCAAGGAACGAAAGATCAGAGGGAGAACGCACGGGGAACGACATATCAGAGGGAGAACACACGGGGAACGACATATCAGAGGGAGAACGCACGGGGAATGACCAATCAGAGGGAGAACGCACGGGGAATGACAGATCAGAGGAAGAACGGACGGGGAACAACAACAGATCAGAGGGAGAACACTCAGGGAACAACAGATCAGAGAAAGAACACGCTAAGAAACGACAGATCAGAGGAAGAACGGACGGGGAACAACAACAGATCAGAGGGAGAACACTCAGGGAACAACAGATCAGAGAAAGAACACACGGGAAACGACAGATTAGAGGGAAAATAGCTCCATGAACTGTCAAATAGCAGGAATTCCAGATCAGAGGAAGAACACCATGGGTTCCATTTTGAATTCTCTTAGAATTTGGGGAAAATGTGGAAATAAATCTAAGATTCCTCTTTGATAGCAAAATGCATAGAGGATCTGTAAGGAAGTGAAGGAAGATTATGGGTTTCGAATGGGTTACAGGCTGTGTTGCTCGGACTCTTCCAAAATGTCGATGGGTGTGTGTCGGATCCTCCAAAAATACTATATTTTTGGAGGATCCAACACAGGTATGGCCTCATTTTTGGAGAGTGTGAGCAACTTAGGTTACATGCAGGGGCGAATTTATAGGCTAAAATATGGAGCATGTGAACCCGTGCTCTCTCTGTAAAAGTAGGTATTTATGTATATACAACAACATTCCTAATGAAATTGCACAAGTGGGGTCTAGGAGGATAGAGTGTACGTAAACCTTACCTATATCTCGAGGCTATTTTCAGGAGACCCTTGGCTTGTGAACAACAAATCAAAGTAGTTACGAAGAAAAATGACAGCGAAGAAAACATATCAGGTAGTCAAAAGAACAATAATAACAACAACATAGTGCGATGACTGAAGCACAAAAAACACATACCATAAAGGAAATCAAAAGCAATACACTACAAAAATAAGGCAATTGCTACGACAAATGACACGCCACTACCCTCTATACTTCTATCCTAATCCGCGGCCACCACACCCTCCTATAAGGGTCATGTCCTCGATAAGTTGGAGCTGTGTAATATTCTATCCAATCACCTCTCTCCCCAATAGTTCTTCAGCTACCCACTACATCCAACCTCCCGCACCTCCTCACTGGGCTTCTGCACTTCTCCTCATCACATTTCCTTGTCTTGTCCACAATGGAGGCATCTCCCACCATGTCTCGGAAATCCTCATTCCTCATTTTTTTATCCTATCGCTTCTAGTATGTCCACACATTCATCTCAATATTAATATTTCCGTAACCTGCATCTTCTAAACATGATAGGTTTTTGACTGGCCATCATATCCACAATATTTTTTTTAAAAAAAAATAGGGTAATCAAAATTACTTCTTATGAATCCCTTCAAAACACCAGGAAAGGAGAAGTACACTCTTCAAAACTGTACCGCCAAAATACTAGCGGAAAATATTATGAAGCCGAAGAGCGAGGTGTATTAACTTACATGAGCTAAGCCCAAAGGTAAACACATGAATATCATTGTTATCATAAACATAACATATGATTAGACACAAGATAAATTTATGTTTATATGGAAGAGGTATCAAAGCCACCAGCTTAATGGATTCTTCCACGACAACTTAACATTAACATAATTTATAAATTAAAAAAGGCATGTCTAGAGTAGCAACTTTTTGATAAGCATCTCTTTTGGGAAAAGAGTAGATACCATTTGATTTAGGACGAGTTTTGGTGTACCAAAATGTTATGGAGATTAAATGGTAGTAATTAACAGACATTTCAGTTACTAATGGAGATTATACAAAACTATTGGCACATCTTAAGAAGGTACGAAATTATGGAATGATAATTGATCACATCATCCTAGTTAGAAACAGTATACTTATGATATATCATATTGGCATCAAAATCAGATCAAGATCATAAACAACGAATAAATCTGCATTGTCTAATTTTGAGAACTCTTCTATGTCTCAAGAGTATTTGCTTAGCAAAAAGCAGTATTTGGAGTTCCACCTACTGATCTTCTGCAACCAGGATTTTTCTTTCTTTTATCTTTGTACGCGTCATTAATACCTGAATGCCCTCAGAAGTCTCTTTTTCAGCAAATTCTTCCTCATCGTCAATGAAATCAATCCAGAATAATATTTTGCACTCTTGGTCCCGAGTGAATAGTTCGTCAGAGTTGAGACAAAGTCCCTTAAACCGTATTTCATCCATTTCAAATCTGGTCATGTTCTTCACAAATATAGTGGGTTGTTGAGGTGAGAAATTTTGTCTTTGATCTACAGACATCTAACTATTGCGAACAAAGGGGTTGTTCCTCGCGTTCATTAAGTTTGGAAATACTCATCACCATAGCCAAATTTGGAGAATTATGCAATTCTACATCAATAGCTATGTAATCAGCAAGACTACTAATGTAAAGTTCAATTCTTTGCACTTGTATAAGGGTACCAGCCACTAAACCAATTGCTCAAACCTTTCTTTGTAATCTGCCATACATCCAATTTGACGTAACTTACCATTTCTCCCAAATTTTGACTTCTAATTGCTGGTCCAAAATGAAGGTTGCATTGACATTTGAACTCATCCCAGGCATATCTTTCTCTAATTGAAAAAACCAGATGCAATTCCTTCAAATGAAGGGAGCAAGACCATTTTTTTTCTTCTTCTGGTACTTGCCGGTGTCAAAAGAAATGCTTGAACCTGTTTAGCCATCCCAAGGGGTCCTTGTGGGCACGAAATCGTGAAAAATCCAACTTTGTATATTTAGTAATCATGAAATTCCCAATACTTTCTGATCCTGAACCTGCAGCGATAACCGCTGCTTTGCCTTCCAACCTCAGTTATGACTACCATTTTCAATTGCTTCAACATAATTTGCTAAATCCATCCTGAGTGCATCCAAATGAGCACTTACGGCTTCCTGTCTAGCTAGATTAATTGTGAATAGTATCAATTGTTGCTGTATTCGATCTCCCATAACTCCTATCTCTAACCAAGTTGTTACGGTCCCCTTGGACGTTGTTAACTGCCAATTCAATGAGTCTTTCCACTTTTTTATCTTCTCAATATCACTACTAATTCAAATATCCATCAATATTATAACATATTCTAGAAAACTAGCTTCACCTAATATTTTGCAACATAACAAACTTCTCCGTGGCAAACAGAAGAAATTGGGGATGTAGTACAATGGAGCTTTTAAGTGTTCAACTATTGCTCATAATCAAGAAACTAATGGTTCGTGTTTGAACCTAAGAGGGAATATCTCATCTGATTAAAGTTATAGCTCAAGAGTTGATTTGCATACATATTTACGTGACAAACTAATGCACACTACTAATTCCTCTATGTGGAGTGTTTGGAATCTGAACTTCTTACTAGCACTAATAAAGGGAGAAAACAATATACGAAACTTCTAACATAAAAGCCACAGATCAATCTAATGCAACCCAAACTTTTTCTTGTTCTCCCTTGATTCTTCAGATTCATATGATGAATATAACTCGGATAACCATTTAAACATTTACATACATACCTCGACTAAGTCGACGGTACCTACTATCTCCCATAAGCAGCTAACTTTGTTCACCAAGACTTGGACAGATGAAAAGAAACCGTCTAGTATTTTTTCTTTGAAACATTAACCAAAATCAAGAAGAATGATCAGTCTAAACCTATTCCAGCTATCACCAAACCATTTTAATAATCTCTCCAAGATTCCTACTCATCCATAACCGAACAATAGATAGCAAAAATCACATACCAAAGACAAAAACAAAATGAACAATTTTACAACAATACCATAGTAAAAAGCACCACGATACACTCACAAACAAGGGGTGGAGCTAGAGGAACTCGAGGAGTTCATCTGAAACACTCACAAACATTCAAGGGCAGAGCTAGGGGACGCAAAACGAACCGCATTCACTAGAAAATTATAGTTGATATATACAAGATCAAGATTTAATTTACATATAATAGATGCTGCATCCTCTTGGCTAGGAGATCCCACACTTTTTAGCTCCCTCGGCGACTCGAACTCACAACCTTAGGGTTGAGAGTAATGAATGTTTATCAGCCGAGCAACTTCCACTTATCTCCTCTTGGCTTCTTCGCATGTTTACTTTCTTTATATATCGAATCCCCGGTGAAAATCCTGACTCCGCCTCTACTCACATAGAATTGAACAAATTTAAATCCACAAAGTTAACCAAACTAAACTCAAAGATACTTGATCCATCACAAAGATTTCAATTCATAAACAAACAAAAAAACAAAATTTGAGCATTTTCAAAGATACCCAAATAGTAAAAGTACCAAAAAAAAATCATTCAATTGCATAAACAAGCTTAAATCAAAAGTAAAAAAACCTGATAAAGGGGATATGACACAGAGTTCCTTCTTCATCTTGTGTGCTTTAAGTTTTGATTTCCTCCCTTTAGAAAACCCTAAATTGAAAACTTTACACAATTTGAGAAAACCCCAAGAAAAGATTGAAACTTTATGAAAAATTTTTGGATTCTTTTGCTCTTTTACAGGTATGATCATCTTCATGTATATTTGTTTTTTTCCTCTCAATGTGAACAAGAATTGAGATTCCAGTAATCCAGTATTACTTCACAATATATATGAAGTGGGGTTAAAAGACAATTTTGCCCCTTGAAGTTATGAAATAGTACAAAAAGAAATTTACTTTTATTTTTATTTTTTGCAATTTTTTCAACTGACTCGTATTGGGGCACGATTAAATTTGAAGTTGTACATCCTTAGAAGGCGCAATCCAATATGATTTTTTTTATTCTCACAAGGTAGAATTTCGAGATTTGTAAGGGTGGATGGATTTGAATCATTCCACCGCAATACATGTGTGGTGAAATATTATTAAAAAAATTTACGATGTCGATGATAAAATGGATCACGTTACTAATTGAAGTCATTATATTAAAAAATCCTCGTACAATAAAACACCAACCCAAATTCAATTTACACGATCGACATTTTCGATTACAATTTATCACAACACTTAATCTCTCGTTCACGTCTTAACAACAACAACAAAAACACAATATATAACATTCCATCTAGAGGAATTCAAAAAAAATTAATATGTACATGTCTTAATCCTTATTTTGTATAGGTAGAAAAACGTTTTTTGATAAACTTCAGTGTAATTATATTTTTTATTTATATTTTTAAAAAATCAACAATACTTTAAATTTTTCGATTTTGATTTTTAATTAATTAAAAGTGAAGAAATCTCTCGACTTTAATCGATTATATTTGTCACGTTTGTG